TGAGGCCCTTCCCAGGTGGCCAGAAGTTCTTCCTCAGTCTACTGTAAACTGTATCCATCATGCGAAATGCAAAGGACTCTGAGCCTCTACACAGTGGACACAGAGGAGAATGGCACATTGGCCATCTAACCCCACTCCCTTGGTGAGAAGTAGAGGCACGGAAGGAGCATTCCTCGCTTTGGAAGCTCAGCTGCAGAACTGCAATTTAGCCTCAGGTTCCTGCATTTTACCTTGTCCCCTTCCTCACCCCACAGGACTGTGGCTACTTCCCAGTAGACATGCAATAGAGTCAAATGTTGTTCCCAGGCTTCCAACTCAACTCTGAGATTTCCTTAACCTCTACTCCAAAGAACAAGGGGCTGGAGGATTGGATGCTCCCAGATTGGCCTTTTTTTCCTACTCCCAACATGCAGGTTTAAAGAATATCCATGGCAGTGCGGTAAGGAGGGCCCTGGGTTATTTCTGACAATGCTGCAGAGATTGGGTCTCCTGACATCAGCTTTTAAGAGTTATCCCAGGCACTCATCTTAGCTGCATCTTCCTACCTCCCAGAACCTGGAGGTGAGTCTGGAGAAGAAGCTGGGGGGCCCGTTTCACTCACTGCAGCCAAACTCCAATCCCGGGGCATGGCCCAGTCTGGGGGGCTGGGACAGGAAGTCCATGCCCTGCTTGGCCTGGTTAAGGCCAGGTTTCCCCCAAGGTCAATCCCATCTCATCTGGATCCAGTGGGAGAAAGAAAGAGGTGCGTGGTTTGATAAAGGAGGAAGAAGCAGAGGCTGCAGCTGCCAATGGCAACACTGTCTAGTGTTTCAACAGCATGGGAATTTTCTGGCTGGCTCTGTGGCAGAATTTTTATGGGCATAAACTCTGCATCATCACTGTAATTGTAAACTCCTCAAATATGGCGACTCTGTTCTATTTGCTTAACTCAGAGCCTGGCACAGAATAAATGATCGTTAAATGTGGGTGACCAGAAACACGTAGATCGTATCCCTGGTGTCTGGCCCTAAGCTGGACACACGGCAGTAATGACCTGAACTCTCGTTGCCATCTCCGGGACAGGTGCACATTTCCCGGTGGAATTGAAATGTGATTCCCTGTACTGAAAGGGAGCTGTGGAGGAGCCTGGGAGGTGCTCTGAGACTCCTCAGGTTTCCCCAACTGCAGCCTGAATTGGGCCATTCCCCAGCGCTTCCTTCCTTTTCCTTCACAAGCACCTTTCTCTTCCTCCCACACACAAGCCCAAACCTCAAACTCATCTCTTAGAAGATGCCCTGAACCACTTAATTTCACCCTGAGCCATTTGTAAACAATCCCACTGAAATGTTTTACATTTCACTGGGGAGACGGTTTCCTGTTTGACTTCTGAACTCTAACAGCCCTTATGGGTCACCTAGTCCAGTCATAACCCAAAGTGAGATGTGACCAACCTTTTCTCTTTTTGTCTCAAAAAAAGGAGAATAAAAGAAACTCTAATAGAAAATGACAAAGCATGAGCGCTATTTCACAAAACTTGTTTCAGTTAAACACTCGAGTATGGAAGTTACAAAAGCAAACACATTCCCTTCTAGTGAGTCACAACCACAAACAGTTTGAAAAACATCAAGCCCATTCTCTCACATTACTGAGAAGGAAACTAAAGCACAGAGAGGCAAAGCAAATCGCCTAAGCTCACATGGCTATCAGTGGCAGCGCCTAGGCAAGAACTCAAGTTTCTCCTGTCCTATTGCAGGGCTCTGGTTCTGTACCCAGAAAACACCCCTGAAATGGGATTGCCAAGAGAGCCCAGTGAATTCCCACCCCCCAGAGCTCCCCAGACAGGAGTGGGCCTTCATCACCTGACCCCAGGTTGGGGAGCTGGCAGGGATATCCACAAATGATGGGCTCGGAGACCTGGAACCTTTGGCTGAGATAGTTTTGCACATTCAGCCATGACTGCTCTTGACATTCATCTTAAAACTTCTTAAGCAATAGCTAAATCAGGGCAAAAGTGCTATTGGAGGCCACTTTAAAATGCATATGAGGGTTAAGAAGCTCTTCAGCAAATCAGGAGCACAGGCCTCTCTCTGCAGAGCAGCATCCTGCAGGTAGGATTCTAGGCCATGGGCTGGGCCCATTCAGACTGTGATTACCCTCATCTCCTAAAGAATAAGAGTGCCATCCTCTCTGGGGGTGGGAGGTACCTGAATTGTGCTATGGCTTCTGGTGTGATCAATGCTGTGGTCAGTGGGGAGTGGGGTGTGGTGATGGTCAGTAACTAATCTAACCCCTCATTTTACAGGTGAGAAAACCAAGGCTCAGGCCCAGAGAATTGAGCAAGGTCACAGAGAACCTGGTTGGAGAGCCACATACGACTCAAACTCAAGCTCCTCATTCCCAGCCTCCCACGTACACTTCTCAAACTCATGTACAAAGCACCTGGACATCCTGCTAAAATGCAGATTACATAGAGCTGGGGAAAGGCCTGGGATTTCCTAAGAAATTTCCAGGTAATGCCAATGCTGCTGGTCCATGGACCACACTTTGAGTAACAAGGTTCTATGACAGGGTAAAGGGATCCTTAAATGCCATCTCCAATTATATCAAGGCTTCACCTCAACCTGGCAAATCCTCTAAGACTGACAAATATTTAAAACAATCATTATTATTATTTTAACATTCATTGAATATGTACCTGAACTATTCCAAATACTTACATGTATTATCACATTTAATCCTCAGAACTCTGAGATGGATATGATTATCATCCCAATATATATATATATATATATATATATATATATATATATATATATATATATATATATATATATGCCTAAGCGATCTTTCGACCATTCAACTGGTAGCTATGATGCACACTGACCACCAGGGGGCAGATGCTCAATGCACAGGCATATAAACATGGAACAAACTGATGAATATCAGAGAGAAGTGGGTAGAAGGAAGGGCAGGAAAAGATTAACCAAAGATCTTATATACAAACTAGAGGCCCAGTAAATGGATTTGTACACTGGTGGGATCCCTCAGCCTGGCCTGCAGGGATTGGGCCAAAACCAGCTTTCTGACATCCTCTGAAAGGTCTCAGAATGGGAGAGGGTGCAGGGCATGCCAAGGGACCCCACCAGTGCACAAATCCATGCACTGGGCCTCTAGTTTTATAGATAAGGATGCTGAGATTCTGAGAGTTTGAATAACTTGCCTAACTAACACTGCTAGCAAGTTTCGGAGCCAACGTTCAAACTCAGATCTGTCTGGCTCATGGGTTAATCAGCTATAGACTATATGGAAATGTATCCTCAACCCTCCTTTCTCTGAGCCTTGGGGGCCTCTCCCCAGAAGGCTCATGATATTGCTCAGTCAAATCAGGTTCCCCCAACACTACTTGGTCACACTTTCTCATAACTCAGGGTCCTAAAGGTCTTATTTTCTAGACCTCTGTGTACTAGTACACCTCAAAAAGTTATCTTCAGAGTTAGTGTGTGTGTGTGTGTGTGTGGGTGGGTGGGTGTGGTGGGGGGATATGGGGAGTAGCGGGGGGGTGGCGGTGGGCACAAAGCTTAGGTAATATATGGCAGCTGACCTGCACAGTAAGACACAAGGCGATCTCTTTTTTAATTATGGGCTTGGAAGCTCTCACTAAGGCCAGGTTCACACAGACTCTGAAACACTGCCCTCAGGAGGCTGTGCTGGGCACCAGGAAGCTTGTGGGGAAGTATCTGCATGGTTGGGGGTGAGGTCTGTGTTGGAATTGCTGAGGGTTCCTATGGAATATAGGCGGGTCTCCAGGTGGGGACAAGCCTATGGCTGAGGCATGCTTCTGAGCTTTACCCAAATGCAGCCATGCATTTTGGCTGCACATTCAGGATTATGCATCATCCTTAGTTACACCATGTTTCACAGAGCACGAGCTCATCGCTGTAATATATTCAATGGCTGTGTACAAGGACAGCACCCAACTGATACACTCATTCCCTTACTCCAGGTGAAGAGGCTGGCTCTGCATCTGTGGCCAACAGGTGCCTGGCTGACTCTCATTTGACTCCTAAGCAGCCTCTTCAGGTGTTGGTGTTCACTGACTGGCCTGGTCCTGCCTCCTCCAGGCAAAGGAGGAATCCTAGAAATTGCTAGTTACCTAGAGAGACCCTGAGGGCAAAGAAGGCAGCAGGAGAGACACGAGCTATGATGGCAGAGTGTGATCAGAGGGGGAATTCAGTGAACCAAGGGCCAGTCCAGAGTTGGAAGTGTAGGTCCAGTACACTGGCGCCTTCCTGTCCAGAGGTAGGTAGAGTGATTTTCCAACTGGTCCCAGTGCCAGGTTGTCTTCCTCTGAACCCCAGCTCTGCCACTTACAAGATGTGTATTTTGGGGCTTGTTACTTAAACTTTCAGTTCCTTGATTTCTTCATCTGTGATGTGAATAAAAATAAATCCAAATGAGTAGATGACTCAGTTGGTTGGAGCATCATCCTGTGCACCAAAAGGCTGTGGGTTCAATCCCCAGTTGGGGTGCAAATGGGCGGCAACTGATCATTTCTCTCTCTCTCTCTCTCTCTCTCTGTTTCTCTCTCTCTCTCTCTCTCTCTCTGTTTCTCTCTCTCTCTCTCTCTCTCTCCCTCTCTCTCTCTCTCTCTTTTCTCTCTCTAAAATAAATTTAAAAAACACACATATCCGTTCGTGAGAATTTAAAAAAACAATTAATTAAAAAGTTAAATAAAATAAATCCAAATGAGCTAGTATATATAAAGCATTTAGAATAGCACCTAGCATATGGTGAGGGCCTAACAAATGTGAGCAAGGGCTTAAATATAGATAAATATAGATTAGATATAGATATAGATATAGATATAGATATAGATATATAGACACAGAGACATACACACATTATGTCAGCAATGGGGCCAGCTCCCACTCTGGCTCCCACTCTTACAGAATATAAGAGAAAGCACCATTTGCATTCCTGTTTTTCACACAGATGGACAGAGAGCAGCTGTGGGCACCCACTTTTTCAAGGCACACTCCAGTTCATTCTTTTCCTCATGGGCTTCTTGGAGCTGGGAGAAGATTCTGGTCAGGAAATCCTCGAAGTTGGACAGTAAGTGAGGCTCATCCTTCTTCAGCTGCAGCCAGAGTTGCTTTACGTCACTTTCACTGCAAGAAGAAAGGGATGTTAATGTAGGAGTGTGGAGAGGAGGCTTTAAGGGAACACAGAAGTCCCAGCTATGAAACAGGTAGCCAGAAACAGCATCGTCATCATTATAATGACGATAGTGGCTAACCTATGAGTGCTTGCTGTGAGCATATTAGCTCATTTTATCTCATAGCAACCTCTGCGGCAGGTGCCATCACCCATCTAGAGATGAGGTGACAGATGAGGAGAGGAGAGGTGGAGGAGCTGTCTCAGGCCAGTCGGCTGGCAAAGGATGGAGCTGGGAAGCACACTCGGGCTGTCTGGCTCCTGTATTGACCTCCTTATCTGCCTCACTGGCTGCTTCCACTCCCTTGTCTTTCTTGATGGGCTGGTGGTGCTGAGCATGCACAGCTGCGTGCTGAGCACATCTCAGAGGCCCAGAACAGAAAGGAGGACAGGAGTCTGGTGCATGTGAGGACAAAGGCTGTGGAACCACAGGAAAGAGCTTGTCGCCCTAGGAAGAAAGGTCCTCACAGCTGAGAGGGAAAGGCATGCCATTTGATGGATGGCAAAAGCAATTGTCACTGTGGGAAAAGGAAGAGAATATGCAACACCCCACTGGGGCCCGGTGGCAGCAAGAATGACTGACAGGTGAAAGGAGGGGAAGCGGCAAGTCTGAAAGATGTGTGCACACACATGGAAAGACAAAGTCAGGAGGGAAAGAGCAGACAGAGAGACAATGACACAGAGGAACATGGCCAGAAACTGCACCACCCCCCAAAAAACAACAACAACAACAACAACAAACAAACACAAAAAACAGGCATACAGGGCACATTCATATGTTCATGCATAGCAGCAGAGACACCTAGAGTCATGCTGACCAGTAGGGAGGAATAGGGAGGTGGTGTACACCATGGACTCTCTCCCCTCTCTGGATAAACTCAGTAATCTACAGCCAATGATCCCACTGAGCTAGACAGAAATCTGATTTACACTCCAGTAAATCCTACAACCACTATGATATGAGGGTAGCTATGACCAGAAACCCTCATGGTAATGAATAAAATCCTTTGTGCTTATATCACAAGCACCATACTTGAGAACTTTCCTCAGAAGTTATATTTGATAGTATCATATTACTAGTGTGCCTGGAATATAGATATTACTCTATGAGAAGAGACCAACTGAGAAATAGACATAATTCTGGTTAGTTATCTTATCATCTGTCCAATTATCCCTCCATCCCTTCTTCCTTCCCTTGCTCCATCTCATCCAAAGATCCACCAACTCATCTAGACCAACTCATCTATCTGTCCATCTATCTACCCATCCATCCATCTATCTACTCCCTTACCTACTCATTTATCCACCCACCCACCCATCCATTTATTAATCCACCCATCCATCCATTTACCCACCCACCCATCCACCAAACAAGTATTTATTATCTATTTATTATATATTGAAAAACTAGCATTGAACATGATGGTATGGAGGAATCTGGGAAACAAATGAAGGAGAGGTAAGGAGCTTCCTTATTTCCCATAATGAGCTCCATTCTACCCACACAGAGCATGTTGTGGTTATCCACTTTGGATATGACACAATGGTTTCAGAGCTAAAAGGTCTCAGGGTGATACCACAATGGCCTCCTGTCACTGTGACAGGTTGCTCTCTTTATGAGTAATTGCATTATAAAAAGATCCATCTTACTAGCCTAGGTTAGTCTTTTCACATCTGTCAAGTTCCTAATGGAGCCTGACAGAACCACCAGTTGGGCTAGAACCTCCAGTGAGATTTGCAGACCCATTTGACCCTTTTCCAAAGCTTTCGAACTGCTTATTAATGGCCACATCACCTCCCCCAGATTTCTAGAGAAAAGACAAGTCTTTAAACCCTTGGTAAAAAATAATAAGCCAGGCACATAAGCAACAAAATCACTCAATGAATCAAACTATAAAAAAAAAAAGGTAGGGCTCCAGATGTCCCTTCTACACCCAGGGTACTCCTCTGGAAAGATATAGGCGTATGGAGCTAGAAGGGATTCGGGTGGTCAACCTGTCCACCTTTCTGCTTCCAAGACAACACACAAACCATCTTGGTACATGAAATATTAGTCTTCACAGCCTCCTAAATCTATTTCCTTATCTGGAGTCCCACAGTCACAACCTTCATGCTGAAACTTAAGCCCTCTTCTATCTTGTTCAATCTCAATAAGGATGGAAATTGCTGGTCGCCATCTTCTATGTATCAATTTTTGTAGGCCACTCTTGAAACCTTCCCCAGAGCTTTCTATTCTCCAGGAATCTCATGTGACTCAGTTCTGCCTCTGACATAAGTCTCCAGAGTAACATCTGGTGAACTCTGATTTGCGAGCCCTGCCAGGAAGGTGACTGTTCTGGAAGTGATGGGAGATAGAGAGGCAACGCTCTGTCATTACAGTCCCTTGGCTCACCCACACTGCCCTCTCCTTCCCCCTCCTCTAGGAGGAGGCTTTACGCAGCTCCTGGCAGTAGTCACTGTGCTCTGACCTCTTGTTTCTGGAGAAGCTGAGTCTGGTGTCTGACTAGTGAGCTTCCCACACACCTGTGCCCCCAGCACACCTGCCTATCCCACTCAGGTTCTGCAGATCTGTGCCTGCACCAGCCCCCCAGGCCTGAGCAGAGCTGCTGCCGGTGTCACCGTGTCATTTCATTTCCTGGCCAGAGCCTCCACCAGGGCTCTCTCCTAGACCTCCACCTGTCCTTTCCTTGCCTGGCACAGGCTTTCCCAGCTTTTCTCAACTCTGACACAGCCAGTCAAATCATTTGCACAGCCTGTCATTTGCTAGAAAATTCACAGAGAGAGAGAGACACTTTCTTTGGCCTGCATATTGTTGTTTCCTCTTTATCACAGATTCCTCTTCCCAAACTCTGGACGCTTCAATCATAAGGCCACTCCCACCCTTCATGAAACACACACCCAACCCAAGACCTATAGACCCAAAAATGAAAAGGCAAAAGGCAACAGAAATAGGGGGCAGAGTATTCCATGTTTTTTCAGGTCACTGTATGGTTTCCATTAGTGATACCATCACTTTATTTTATTTTATTATTTTATTTTATATAATTTGTAATTCAATTTTAAATGTCAGGGCTTAGATTCTTCTGTCTCTTTCTTCCTAAACACTTTTTGTGAAAAATAGAAAAATGGAGTATTATGTTTTGTTTGAAGTTCCATCTAAAATTTTTAGCTGAGCTACTGATTATCCAAGTGGTGGGCTGGTAAAATCTGGTTAATTTCCTGCCTCAGCTTCCTGACAGATTTGGTTTGGCTTGGCATACAATGTGCAGACACTTCCACAGACGGTGCCTTTGCCAGGAGCATACCACAGTGGGGTGGCTGGGATACACTGCAGCCCCAGAGAACCTGGTTTGGCTCCAATGGAGGTGGCAATGCTGGTGAGCTGACAGTGAAGCCTTAGGCAAAATGCACTGCGAAAACCACAAGGCCCGGCACAGCACTCCTCACTGAGCCTCAGACTGTGCTGGTAATGAACAGCAGGGAATGAAAAGAGTGGAAGAGTAGGGAGATAGGTGATTCCCATGAAAAAGTGGAAAAAGTAGACAGAGCCCCTAAAGGACATTGCAAGGGCAGGCTGTATGGGGCAAGTCTTGAAGCTGGCAGCTCAGAGCCTGAGCCTGGCTCTGGGGCTTAACAAACATTAATGGTTGAATGAAGGAGATACAGAGGTTGCTCCTAGGCTGGGTTCCCTCCCCCAAATCACTGTCACCACTTACTCTTCCAAAACATTTTGGGCTCCAAGTTTGTCCATCAGCATCAGGAACTGGGCTTCCTCATCTTCATCCAGGTCACCCAGATCCTCCTCTGCTCTGGACTGATACACCTTCTCCTCCTGGAGCTGGGCCACCTGTTCACCTGCATCTCCCTGACTTGGTTTGCTCTGGCTGAAGAAGAAATGACCTGGGGAATGCATGGTAAAGGGTCTGAATCAGGCAATGCTCACCCAAGAAGACCTTCCCTTCCTCAGTTTCCAACAATCATTTGAGGTTCATCTGAGAGAAGAAAAAGGGAAACCACCTATAGCAATTATCCTAGGATAACGTATTCTGGATTTTGTGTCTTTTCTACTCCCAAGAGACTCTGCCAGAAATGCTAGAATAGGACCTGGGAAAGGCAGAATGCATGGCAGGTACTCTGGCACCTTGGTGGTTCTCAGTCCTTTAAAGTCTGGCTTAGAATGCATCTCTTCATTGATTTCTTCTCTAAACAACAAGACCTTTCTCTCCATCACACCCCAGTGACCTGACTGCTCATGCTCCATGTTATCATCTACTTGGACCTACCAGCAGCATCGCTATACTTCACATTCGCAAATTACTGTGTAGCTTTGGGTGCACTCTTCCCATTCTCATACGGTCTGCTAATACAGCAATCTGTCTTATCTTCCTAAGTCCATTGCACAGGTCAGGAAAGGCCTCAGATACTTCATAGTAAACTATACAGTGCCTTGTAGCAGCCAGATGTGTGGTGAAACACGCCTGCTGATTTATCTGATCAGTATCTGCTCTAATCAATATTGGATCAATCTAATTTGATGGCATAGGTGGTTTTCTTGTCTTCTTCATGGATCTATGATCTCATTTCTCCTGGTTAACCTGGAATGGCTATCCTATTCAAACCCCCTAGAAAGTCCTAAACCTTGAGACTCAGCCAGAGTCAGGCTAGAGTGAGCCATGCAGTCATCCCACTTTATCGTCCTCTAGTACCAAGGCAGAAAGGCGAGGCTGGGAATTTCATGTCAGCTCTCCCTTTCATGCCAGGCCTTCTGCCAGAGCTTCTCTACATTTCACTTGCCATTCCTGGTGGCAGGGATCTTGGCAGTAACAATGTGGTAAGCACTGAGGGAGCAGTGGTGTGAGCAGCCAAGGAAGATATGAAAGAGCCACAAAATCCAGAGCCTGAACATGTCAGGAAGGCAGGAAAGCTTGTGCTCCCAGGACCCTGGGATCTGGTGGGCAGGTTGCACTTTCTGTAGGGTTAGGTAGACCCAAATAATGCCACCACCCCCACACCCCCACATCCATCAGAACTTACTAAACCCAGTGGTGAACTCCTCTGGAGTCAGAAAGCCATTGCCATCAGCATCCAGGGCATCAAACACATCCTCCAAGTCCTCCAGGCTGAGGGGCAACTCTTTATGGAGCCTCTGAAAACAACCCAGACCGCACTGGTTAGCACTCACGATCATGGAGGATGGCCTGGGACCTCCTGCCAAAAAAGGTCAGGTTTGGCCCTGTCCTACAAAAGCCAGAGTGAGCTTCTGAAGACCACTTTACCGTTCTACTCCCCCTTTACATATTAGAATGTCTACCATTTATTGGGCGCCTACCAATGTGCTAAGCAATTTGTTAAATGAGTTATAAGTAAGAATTTAAACATGTACATATTTATCAATATATTTGTATAGCTTCTATGTTTATACATTTTTGCATTGAATTCTCATGACAACCCTCGGAGGTGGATGTTATTATCTCCATTTTATAGATGAGATGTGAAGTTAAATGACCTGTCCCATGGTTCCCTAGCCCACGGTTGCCAACCTTTTGGGCCTTATGAACCACCAGTGGTGACCGCTGCTCCAAAGGTTTCCTTAAACCATCAGTCACCAACCTTTCAGAACTCATAGAATGAGGGCTTCCTGAGGAGTTCTATATATATATATATATATATATATATATATATATATATATATACCCTCTCCCAGTTAGCCAAAGGACAACTGCACAGAATTCCTGCCGGTGTGAAAGTGACTGAAAGCTGAATATAATGAACACAGGGCTGCCAGAAGGAGGTATATACTCATCTGGACACAAAAAAGATGGCAGGTATGAAAGCCCATAACATAACATGCAAGAATACTTGGCTTGATCCAGTGACAATCTGCTTGCTGATACTCTATAAAGTTTAATTTGTAGGTACGTGCATTAGGGAGACTATGAAGCATTACAAAATGGAAAGACCATTTTGAAGAATTAAATTAAGCATGAATGAGTTTTTGTTTTAAGGAAGGGGAGTGAGGGCTTGTGCAAAATTTCTAGAAATACATCTGCTTAGCATACAACAGAGCCTCTGGTTTACCAGCAATCTATAAACCAGCCGGCTCAAAAGCCACAAAAAGAGAATGGGGAGTGAGGAATCAGTTTTGCAAGCAGAACATTTATTAGCTCCACTGAAACAAAAGGCATCACACATGGAAGGATGTGTGTGCCCTATTTCTTGGCTTATGGCCCCACCAGCTCCTCAGAAAAACCCACACTCCTAGCCCATCCCAATTCCAGTCCTTTTTTTTAGAAATCTCCTTCTCCCTCCCCACCTGTCAGCCCAGGGTTGCTGGACCTTGTGTAAAATGGGATGGAACATCACACAATGCTGAAGCCCAAAAAGGGCAGGAAGGAAACTGCAGAGGTCAGTGGGGTCCTCAACTTGGCTTTCACCCAAACCACCCACACATGGGAGCTGTTCTCTTGTTAGGAGGAGCCAAGAGAAGCTGTGTCATAGCCCACATTAGGCACTATTCCTGCATCTAACACCTTCCAACACAAATCCTTCTTACTGTCTAATCCCAATACTTCTGTCTAAGTCTCAAATAACCCAGTTTCCTTCTGTTGTCAGTGAAGATGGGAGAGCACTATTATACCCTCCGAGTAATTCCTCCTCTTCATCTCCTGGCTAATTCGCATGAGAGCTTCTGCAGCCTTTTCCGCAAGCCGTACCATGTGAGTTCACAACCCCTTTTACTGGGCCTACTCGAAAAATCCTTTAGTCTTAGTAACTATAATTCTCTCATATTTGTCTTCCCTCTTGGGGCCTGCAGCTTATTCTGGTCTGTCCCCTGGGAACTAGTGTGCTGTGTCTGGTCAAGATTACTCATTCCTCTGTGCAAATAACCTGTGAGATTCTGCAGTCACAGCAGAGGCCAGTGCTAAGAGGAAGACCCAGTTTCCCATCCCGACTCCCGCTGCAGTCTAAGGTCCTCTGGTTAACCATTCTCTCACTCCTGTCTGCTTACCATTCCACACCTGCCCACCGATCACCACCGTCTATTTGGCCAGCACCACTAGGCAAGGCCTTGCAGAGCCCCTGCCTCACTCCACCCCCTGGCAGGGCTGGCAGAGGGGAGGAGACATGGAAGGACATCAGTGCGCCCTATTTCCTGGCCCATGGCCCCACCAGCTCCTCAGAATCTGTGACTCCTGTAAACACTGGCCTACCTTCACCACCTTTAAGAAACTCTGAATTGCTGCTTCCTTCTCAGCTCCGGCCTCACTAGCTCAGGGAGCTCTGTGGCCCCAGGCTCGGCCAGTGCACACAGACTCCCCAAACCCATTCTCTCATTCACAGGTCTCACCTGGGTTTGTATTTTACCTGCTATAGGTGTGGTTCCTTGGTGAATGTCTGCACCTTCAGGGGACTGGAAGCTCTGAGAACAGGAACCCCATTCTCTTTTCCTCACTACTGTGACCCCATGATCCAGCCCCATGCTGACACACATGGAGTATTTTATTTTTTAAAATATATTTTTATTTATTTCAGAGAGGAAGGGAGAATTAGAGAAAGACAGAAACATCAATGATGATAGAGAATCATTGATTGGCTACCTCTCACATGCCCCCTATTGTGGATTGAGTCAGAAAGTCCGGCATGTGCCTTTGACTGGAATCAAACCCCAGACCCTTCAGCCCACAGGCAGACACTCTATCCACTGGGCCAAACCAGCTAGGGCGCTGGTTTACACATGGAGTATTTAGATATTTGTTGAATAAATGAGTGACTAAGAGTGATCACAGGGATCCTGACCTCCTATTGACAGAACACTGATCTAGATGCCAGGGCAGCACTACTGTAGATTCTTGTAAACTGGGGAATCCAACTAGGTACAATCCTGCAGCAGCTGCACTGAGGGCTCGGGCTCCTGGGCCCAGGAAAACACTGTTTTCTGCTGCACTCCAGCCTGACCCCTCTACCTTCTGGGTCACAGCCCATGACTTGACCCGAGAAGCTTGAAGCAAATGTCTACACTGCTTTAACCATGTCTAAGGGGACACTCATGAGACAGAAATCCAAAAGAGCTCCATCCTTATGGCCATAATGGAAATCTCCCTCCTTTGGGGGCTCCCACGGCATCTTGCCCAGATTTCTGTCCCAGTGCCAGCCATGTCTTCCCTGTGGTAGAGCTGAGCTTTCAGAACCAAAGGTTTTCAGGGTGAGACTGTGAGGCCCTGGAGGCAGGATCCACATTTTCCTGCTTTGAGGTTTGATGTGCTTGGTTTCGGCTGATTCTTTGGTGTAGATAGGGTTTCTCAACTTCTGCACTATTGACATCTTGGAATAGAGAGTGCTCTGTTGGAGGAGGGGCAGTGGGGGAAAAGCCCTCCTGTGCATTATATGATATTTAGCAACATCCCTGGACATTACTGAACAGATGCCAATAGCACCTCCCTCTCCAGTTGTTTCCATAAAAAATGCCTGCAGATATTGCCAAATTTTCTATGAGGCAAAATTGCCGTCACACATGCACACTGGACACAAACAAGAATAGCACCAGCTAGATACAAATGGAAGGTGCCTTCTTCAGCAGAATAGCCCTTTGTTTATCTCTGAGGAAGGACAGATGACTTGCAATCACAGCTTGATGGAGCAGTCACCATGGAAAACAGCCGTTCCTCAAAAGGCTAAAAATATTTATGTGATCCTGTAATTGCACTTCTGGGCATGAACCCAAAATAATTTAAAGCTGGAACTCAAAGGATATTTATATACTCATGTTCATAGCACGTTTGTTCAAACTCAAAGACATGAAGCAACCCAAGTGTCCATTGACCGATGAGCAGAGAAACAAAATGAGCATGTATGGTCATAGTATATTATTCAGCCTTTAAAAGGAAGCATATCCTGACACAGGCTACAATGTGCCTGAATTTTGAAGACATTTTGTTAAGTGAACTAAGCAGTCACTGTATTTCCACTTAGATGAGGTAATAAACTTCATAGACAGAAAGGAGAATGGTGGTTACCCAGAACTGGAGAGAGAGGAGGATTCAGTGTTTAATGGGTACAAAGTTCCTATTTTGCAAGATGGAAAGAGTTCTAGAGATGATGGTGGTGAAGACTATTGAACTACATGTACCACTGAACCAATCACTTTGTTAAAATGGTAAATTTTATGTGATGACCATTTTACCACAATTTTTAAAAATCATGGTGTGGAAGATACTGGGGTCTGGGTTAAGACCCAGGGTACAAGTCTCCCTTCCTCATCCCCTCCCCCCGCCCTTTGCACCAGAAATACACCAGGTCTGGTCTCAGGGTTCAGTGTCCTCCTGCTTACTTATTCTCTTCTAATGCTGCGATGTGCTGTGATAGTTCACAGGGGAGGAAGCATGGCCAGAGGGTGAGGAGACATACAAGCTCACATTGCTAGTAAGCTGCAGATTCAGGATTAACACTCAGGTTAATTTACACCCTTCACCCCCTTCCAAAAAAAAAAAAGTATTTAAAAGTCTTCTTGTTAACCTGAATCAGGCGTCAGCTAACTCTTTTTGTAAAGGGTCAGGAAGTACATATTTAGGCTTTGCAGGCCCTCCGGTCTTTGCCACAAACTGCTCAGCTCTGCCTTCGGAGTGACAGCTGCTGCGGACACTATGTAAAGAGTGAGCACACTGTGTTCCAATACAACTTCACTTGCAAGAACAGCTGCTGGGCCAGATTGGCTTGGTCTGCCAATGCCTAGATGATTCTTAACAGTCTGGCTAAGCCAGGAGTTCCAGGCAGCTTTGGGAGTTAGATAACCACTTCACTCCTCTAAAATACCAGGGGAATGGGGTTTTTGAGGCTCTAGGTTTCTTCAGAGAGAACTCCTCCCACCCTGCATGCCACTCTGTCCCCCAGATGCAGGAGTCCCTCTGTGCCCTCTCCAGCTTGGCCTTTCACTTCCCTCTGTCCCTGTGAGACTGGTCTGGCTCTCACCCTGGGCCCTCTAGGGCCCTCTGCTTTTCTAGGGCCCTGAAAAGCAATCTGTATCCCCATTCTGCCTGGAGTGATCCCTTGGAACCTGGAGAGGTTCCTTGTGGAGGGAGAGTGGAGTCTGAGGGGCGATGGGTGGAGCAGAGGACCATCCACTACTGCCTAAGCTGTTCCCACAGGTCAGGCTCCACCCTCTCCACCCTGCAGCAGGATGTCCTCACAAGGAGCCCCTGCCCTCAGTGCAGCCACTTCAGTCCCTCCAGCGACCACTAAGGAGAAAGGCTTCTCCTGGCCCCTGCTCCTTCCCTTTGGGCTCCCTGCTCCTCAGGGCAGGCAGACTGCCTCCTGCAGGGGCTCTGCCCACAGTGGTGTGGTCCTGTCCCCCACCTCACAGATGACTGAGAAGTCCACCTCATGCTCTTCACATAGATTTTTGTTAATCAGGAGAAAAAAACAAGAGCGCTTGGGAAGGAGCTTAACTCTCCTGTTCATTTTTCAAAAGGACAGCGAGCACTCATGGTTTTGTTCCAACTCTGCCTCTTCACCGGCCTCCTCCAGCCCCCAAGTTCTCCATCCCACGTAACCCACAGCCCCTCCTTCCTTGAGAGCCATTCTCTGTTGTAAAAGGCCTTTCCTAGTGGCTGAATTTGTGTGTGTGAACAATTTGAATGCTTCTCCCTCCGGCTCCCATGAGGCTGTGGCAGGAGCTGATGGGTGGTGTTGGGCAGGTCCAAGGAGCTGGCCACCAACCAAAGGGGTGAGGATGTGGGAGTGACAGGCAGCAGGCAGAGAGCCGCAGGTGCTCCCCAGGAGAACCCCGGGGCACGTGGCTTTACACAGACAGCCCGGGGTCAACTATGAGAGGTGACTGTCCACTGTTCCTCTCTTTCCAGCCTGCCTTTCTCCAGACGTGACCAGTGGAAGCATCAGAGAGACGGTGCTTAAGTGACATGTTTTGTTCTCTCTCTTGATAGCCCTCTCTTAGTCTGAAAATATGAAGAATGTTCAATGCATCATTGTCCACAGTTACACAGAAATTTCAAAAAGCTAAGGAGCTGGTAGATAAGTGCCATGAAGCCACACACATTTGCTGGCAGATGCTATCCCCTCCTCCCACAGCCCTCCCCCACCCCCCAGCCTGGGTCAGGAGTGAGGAATGAGGGAGGAAGACTAAGGAGGCATAGAGATGAGTTAGTATCTCTCCACTCTATGTTTCTGACTTTATTCCAAGTCAAACACAAATGATTTCTTTAACAATTTACACTTGGCAGCTTAGATTTCCCACGCCTCTGCCTCCTTTCATTGAAAAGTGTGTTTCAATGAAGGTTAACTGTGATCTACACAGTGAGTTGCACTGTGCATGTGACCCAGAATGACCCTCAGTAAATGTGAGTTCCCTTTTCTTTGTTTCTAGAAGGCAGAAGCAAAAGTTAAGGATGCCATTAGAACCATGACCACCAAGCACCACTACCAGCCCTGTGAACGAAGTTCAAAGACAGGGGTTTATCACTGGTTTGCACAAAATACATGAAATCTGGCTTTCTACGTGAAGTGAGGCTTTGGGATGAGTTTCTGTGAAAGACATTTATTGAAGGGTCAATTACTGAAAGCAATTAAACCCATAAGTCTGAGCTCACTGTGGCTTAGCTGGTTCTGTTTCCTGGGACTTTCCCCCTCAATTTGTGCAATGACTGGATGGTGGAAGGGTGCTAGGAGAAGCCAGAAAACACCATCCTCTGGGCCAGGAGAGAAAGACCCATTTATCTTAACCTCCACACCTCGTGACTCACACAAGTGAGCAGCAATGGGGTTGAAACTAATGAGGTCTGCATTTCATTGTCCAACTTTAGCATATTGGGAAAACTAGACTTAAAAAAAGAAAACCTGGCCATTGTAGGTCTTGCTTCTAATAATATAGCTGGATTTCCCTCCAAAAATGCTCTTGACAGAGCAAGTGATGACAAGCGGTGGAAAAGATATGCTTCCATAGAGCTCTAGTGAAATCTGCATTTTATTTACTCACATCAGGGTGAAATCATGACTGCAGCATAAGAGACTTAAGTGAGACACCAAGAAGAACCAGACTAGAGGTGGACAAACCATTTCCTAGCTCTAAATCAGACATATCCCACTTTTATATGACCAGTCAGCTAAGAATGGCCTTTACATTTTAAATTGGTTGAAAAAATCTTTTAAAAAATATTTGGTGGTGCATGAAAATTATTTAAAATTCAAATTTCAGTGTCCATAAATAAAGTTTTATTGAAACAATGCCACTCTCATTCATTTACATATTGACTATGACGACTTGTGCAGAGCTGAGCAGTCAGGATAGAGACCACATTGCCCATAAAGCCTAGAATATATATTCTCTGGCCCTTTTCAGACCGTTTGCTGAGCCCCACACTAGTAGGTGTGTGCACTGAGGGTCTGCAATCTCTCTCTCTGGAATGCTGACAGGAGGGGTTAGGTGTGGTTGGGTTTTAGCATAAGGGACAGACAAGATGAGCGCCAGAAATGCCTTTCTCTGTGCGCTGCCCCGACACACATGGCATCTCCCAGGAAGGACTTCAGCAGAGCTTTGATGTGAAGCAACAAGTTGGTGCCTTTTCACCTGTTTCAGAAGGTTCTTCATCATCTCTGACAAACATCTCTTATATTGCTATCACCCTCTCCCCAACCCTGGGGAGTTACTGAGTCAGAGAGGGGAAATAACCCCCGAGTATGACAGCAAAACCAGAAAATAAGGGAACCAGGAGCTTGGACTGATGCTTCCTTCCAGGGCAGAGTGATGGCCGCTTTTCTGTGTAGGATGTTGCCTCCAAGGGGCCAAGTTGTAAGCTGAGACAGGGGGACCTAGGCCATTTGGTTTTCCAGGTGGACAACCTCGCCCCTCTTACCTGCATATCTCTCCTGGCGATAAAGCCCTTGCCCTCTGCGTCACAGGTCTGGAAGAATTCCTGTGCCTTCCTCAGCATGGCTACCTCCGCCAGCACCATCTCTTGTGTCTCCATACACTCCAGGCTGTCCAGGGCACCCAGGCAGGCCCCATTCCCCTTCGGTCCCCGGGCTGGTTTCTGGGGCCTAGAAACCACTTTCTGGTCAGGGGTAGCCATCCAGGTTTGTCAATTTCTCCAAATCTTTTCAGACCCTGAGAATGGAAGATGAGAGAGAGAGGTGGGTGTGGTGGGGATGAAGTAAGGATGAGAAAGAATGACAGGGGATGAGAGAGAAGCACAGAACTGCTTATAAATGTGCCCAGGATCTCTTAGCAACCACCTCTTAATTAGCAAAAGCTCAGACAAGGGGAAGTGTGCCATGATGGCTAATTGATCAGCCAGCCCATCAAAGAGAAAAGAGAAGAGCAGATAAAAAAAATAAACACTTCCAAACCGAAATAAAATGGGTAGAGGAAGCCTGAAAATAATTTCTCGCAATTTAAACCAACAACAACAGATCCTGATAGACCAGCTACCATTTATTGAGTATTTACTTATAGGCAGGCACCAGGCAATGGTCTCTCTTTCTCTATGTCATCATTTATTTCTCTCATCTCTCTGAAATAGATATTATCATCTTTATTTTATTGAGGCTCAGAGAGATTGAATGAGTTGCCAAGGCTACACAGCAGTTTGTACAAATTTGTGATTTAAAAAATAAGTTAAACACCTAACTTGTATTTGATATCAACCCCACACTGTCCTGACTCCTCCTGAGCCAATGTTGGAGGGCTCCCCTCTCTCAGACGCACTCTCTCCTATGTCACTCACAGCCAACAAGTTCTTGGTGAGCTCTTCGCCTCTGCCACAGATCCATGGAGGTGGTGATGGCTGGATGAGAAAGTGCACCTGGTCCTCAAGAAGCTTCCTGCTGTATTGGACTTCCCAGGCCTGATTTCTATGATTTGTGATTCTGTCTTCAGCCAACATAGAATCACAAATCACAGACCTCAATCAGGGTGTGTGTGTGTGTGTGTCCTCATCCAAGGATAGTTGTCATTAATTTTTAGAAAGAATGGAAGGGAGGTGGAGAGACACAGAGAGAAACATCAATGTGAGAGAGACACATCGATCGATTGCCACCTAGGTTTGTTAATCCAGGGCCAGGGATTAAGCCTGCAACCTAGGTACATGCCCTTGACTAGAATTAAACCCAGGATCCTTCAGTCTGCAGGCTGATACTCTATCCACTGGGCCAAGCCAGCTGGGGCTCAATCAGGTTCTTAAAGCCCCTCCAAAAGTTTTTTTTTTTATATATATAAGGTTCAGTGTAATGTGATGTCATAGAAGAAGGCACACAAAATCCGACTTCTACACTGTTTCCCCAAAAATAAGACAGTGTCTTATATTAATTTTTGCTCCCAAAGATGCACTAGGTCTTATTTTCAGGGGATGTCTTATTTTTCCATGAAGAAGAATACGGTACACATTTATTGTTAAATGAAAATAAAGGAAATTTATTACCTGTATATGGTACAGTAGTACGGTAGTTGTCAACACAAACCAGATAAACTGTGAATCCTACAGTATCAAGAATTTACTCACTTATTCAATGACAATCACGCCATCATCTTCTGGAACATCATCATAACAATCCAATTCCTGAATTTCCTGATGAATTTCTTGTGACTCCATTTCTTTCAGAATCAGTGGACAAAATCTCTCATGTTTAGCAATAGCACTGTCTTTAAATGAGTACTTCTCTGTCAAGTTAGCCTGCTCTCAGTGCATTTGCAATGCAACTGTCAGTGATTTTCTCCCATGAATTCTTCATCCAAGTCACAACTTCTTGCAGTTTAGGTTTCACAAAGTTTCCACGTTGATTTCTCTCCATTCTATTTTCAAAGTAGTCATTAATTTCCATGAGCAAATTGTCTTTGAATGGCTTGTTTATTGCAATATCAAGAGTCTGGAGATAGGCCATCATTCCTGCGGGGATCATTATCTGACCTATTTTTCTTTCATGAAGAAATGTCTTCATGTCTTTAGTGCAGTGAGTGCTGGCTGCATCCCAGACTAGCAGACCTCTTTGGCTCCCTCGCATAACAAGCGGCAGCATTAAAACGACCCCCTTCCTTATAACTGCTTGTGTGGCCCAGGCTTTTTCAGTTTCAAGAATAAAAATGCCCAAAACATGTTCAATCTTTTCCTTCTTGCCCTTAGAAATGATTAAAGGTGGGATTTTAGTGCCATCCAGACGAATTGCCAAAATACAGGAAACGTGTGCACTTTCGTAAGCAGTGGAGGAAATGTACACTAAGGAGGCACCCCGCTGTTCAATTGTTGTTTGAGTTGATTGGCCCATAAACACTGCAGTTTCATCCATAGCAATCATGTTGGAAAGATTGTATTTAGAGAAGTCAGCATCATCAATAAAGGACTTGAATGCAAGTGTTCGCTTAATAACTTGAGTATCTTCCAAACTAAACAATGTTGTAGATCTTCTTAAAGACAGTTCACTTCGCTGAAGGAAATTATCCAGCCAGTGTTGTTATGCTTTGAAGTCTTCGGGGGCTGTGTCAAACTGTGGTGCCATTGCAAGGGCAAATTCTTGAATCTGAGCCCTATTCACAACCAAAGCCTCTGCTCTCCTGTCAACAACCCATTCACAGATCAGGTCTTCCAGCTCGGAAAATAATGGTTGCCGACCTGATCCACACTTGTGTTTTTAGCATTTCCCTTGTCCACTTGTTCAATGAGGTTACCATACTCTGCTTGCCATTTTCAGACCAATCGGATACTCAACATCTTCTCTTTGCAGAAAGCAGTAAGATTTTGGCCCCAAGAGTCTTCCACGATTCCTTTCTTGTACCCCACAGAGTAGCTTTTTCTTTTTGCACTCATTTCTAGGGGTAAAAAAAAGGAATTGGGGTATCAAGGTGGGGGGAGGGGGATCACTTAAAATGACACAGGGGGGATCAGAGGAGGGAATCAAAATGGCACAGGAGAATCAGAGGGGGGATTACCATTTTAGTAACCCCTTTTGATCATCCTGTGTCATTTTGATTGCCCCCTCTGATCCTCCTGTGTCATTTTAAGTGATTTCTCTCCCCCTACCCCTGTGCCACTGAACACCTTCACCAGACATCCCCCCTTACCCCTTTATCAGACATTTACCTCCTGGGGCCTGCCTGGGGACTGTCACTGGGCTTGCTGGGGCCTGGATCTGGGCTGGAGCAGGGTCTGCCACTGACTGAGAACCTTTAGTCATCATGAGGGCTGCGGCGAGCATCAGGTAGTGTCACCAGAGACAGACCAGCACTCACCACCTTCCCCACGTCCCGTCTGCTCTAATCCTCCTGTTCTTCTAGTACATGCATCTGCAAAAGTCTCCTCCTCTCTCCCGCCCCGCGCTCACAGCTCACTCTGACCTCCGCTCCGCCTCCACACAGCAGTGACGTCAGGACTCCGAGTAACGTCACTGGTTGCTAGACACCAGTCAGGGCGGCCCTAGCGACCAGTTTATGGTAAATTAATTTTCATTATGAGACAGAGCCTAGGGGGGGCCTTATTTCTGGGGGGATGCCTTATATTTCACTCAGAAGGAAACCTGTAAGTAGGTCTTATTTTCGGAGGATGTCTTATTTTCGGGGAAACACGGTAGTCTGGACTGCACTGTGATTTATGAGACCTTGAACAAGTCACCTGTCTGGGCCTCAGTTTCCCCATCTGTACAATGAGAAGACTGGGCCTGCTTGTCTTTAAACGTCTTTCTTGCTCTAACAGTCTGGACGTCTGACATTTTAATATAATTAAATGTTTTTAGTGAAAATTGGGTTAATATGATAAAAGAAAATAGCAATATCCTTGGAGTTTTCCATCTGAATTTTCAGAAAGAAGACTAGGTCCAAATTTCAAATGTATGACAATATTTGAATTTAAAAATATAGCTATGCACTGTAATGCATTTTATGGGAAACTAGAGAAAGTGAAGTCCTAAATCACGTCTCCTGTGACCATGGTCAGAATAAAGACAGAAAAATCACTGAATCACCAGGTGGGTTTCTCTGATTATTAGAGTCTGGGCCTGTGGCTCAGCTACACCATGACTCTGAAATCATCTATTATTTCAGTCAGCACCTTCCATCTGTGAGATTTGTCCAGAGTTGTGGGCCTGAAGCTGGATGCCTTGGCCCCAGGAATTGACTCTGCAGAACAGAGCGGGACAGAGCAGGGTAAGCTCCCCTTCTCTCTGTGCTCGGGCTGAGCAAGGAACTCCCACCCTGACTCCTCGGACCAACCCCTCACTCGGGAAATGGTCTTTCCTTCATCCCCACATGTGCATGCGGGCCATCACCTGATCAGAGGCAGATTTAACATTTTTATTCTGTCTTTCCCAAGGGGAACTGTCTTGCATGTAAGTCCCCAGAGAGCAGAGCAATGTCTGCAAAGCTTATTTATGTGCACTGCCTAGCACATCTGCGTGCAATGCTGAGCTCAGGGAGGGCCTTTGGATAATGACAGTGGTGCTATCTGAGCTTCTGTAAATACACAGCATGAGCAGAGCAGCTGCGGTCTTCCTGATTCTGCAAGGTCTCATCCCCACCTGCTGTCCCAGACCCTAGGCTAATAAAACCTGTCATTCCCAGGCTCCTAACCTACTTCATCCTATTGAAACCTATATCCTTCCATAAGGTACGTAGGATTAGGATTCCTGTTAAACAGATGAGAAAACCAAGTTTGGTATAGAATAAGTAACTCAGATCAAAGTCTAGAATAGTTTCAGACTCATGTACTTACTGTATCAGATTGCCTTCCTATCATAGGTCCCAGCTGTGGGTCTGTTATCAGTCTACACATCCCCAACTGATAACAACCTAAGTCACCTTCCAGAGGCATGCTCATCATTTTAACGTTTTTCATTCATTCATTCATTCATTCATTCATATATATTGATTACCACATAGCAAGCTCTGAGCTAACTTTGAGAAATGGAAACATGAATAAAACATGGTCCCCAACCTTAATGAATAAGTGTCTGTAGGATTTTAGTCATAGTGACTGGCCATGACGGAAGGTATTTTGAATTTTTTTAAAAATATATTTTATTGATTTTTTTCAGAGAAGAAGGAAGAGAGATAGAGAGCTAGAAACATGGATGAGAAACATCAACCAGCTGCCTTCTGCACAGCCCCCTCCGGGAATGTACCCGCAACCAAGGTACATGCCCTTGACCGAAATCGAACCCGGGACCTTCCAGTCCACAGGCCGACGCTCTATCTACTGAGCCAAACCGGTTCCGGCATTTTTTTTAAAACTTTTTTAAATTTATTTTTTATTTTTATGGAAGGTATTTTGGATTGGGTCCCTTTTTCATATCTTTCAAAACAGACTATACTGGTATAGCAATCACCCACTACTGACCAACTGTGTGACTTAGTGAGTCCCTGAACCACCCTGGGCATAGACATTAGTAAAGATGGTCTCTCAGTTCCAGGTCTGACTTTCTCTGGGTCTCCACCTTCCCTGGCCCATGTCACAGGTGATGCATGTTATAAAAGAGCCTATGTAATCTTTCTAAGGAAGCCAGCTCTGAATACGGATAGGTAGGTACCTTGTCTTATTTGATTTTAACCCCAGATCCTAGCCCTGAATATGGCATAGAGTAGGTGCTCATGGACTGTTTGCAGAAGACCAATCCTGCTAAATTCTTTGCAAGGCCTGAAAACATTCGTATTTCAGTCAGGTAGCTCCATATCCAGGATTCTTAAATCTCATAAAGAGTACTAGACTTCTGTCTCCAGAAAAGATGGAATAACTGAAACTGAAGTCAACCTTGCAGTTGAAATAATAAAAAAAATCCATGCAAAAATATGTATTTTAATGGTCTTCAAGACACTTGATATTATGCAAGAAAGACAGGGCTGAGACTAGGGTAAGCTGAGTGAGGCCCTAACGTGCAAAATTAAAGAGGCATTTACTCTCAGTTGCTAGCCCTGTGTTGCCACAACTCCATATGTTCTTAAGACTGAGGTAAAATTTTTAAAGGGGATCCAAAATGTAAAGAGGAATCCACTTTCAAACTATGTATCCAAGAGTGTTTATCATCTAAAATTTTCACTGTAGGGACTGTACTCACCTCACACTAAGCCAAGTCCTGCTCTTGAGAGGTGGGAAACAAACAATGGAAGTCCCGTTGCCTAAAGACATTTTCTGTCATGGCACAGGAAAGGAAAATCCAGGCAGAGCCCAGAAACTCCCTAAATTGAGAAAACCCAACTATATGCTGCCTGAAAGAAAAGCACTTTAAACATAAAGACACAAATAGGTTAAAAGTTAAAAGTTGGAAAAAATATACCATGTTAACACTATTCAAGAGAAAGCTGCATATTAATTAATATGCAGATAATGTAGATTCTAGAACAACTTTATCTTCTAGAATATTAATGAAGATAAAATCATTTCATAATGATAAAAAAGTCAATTCATCAAAAGATGTAACAGTCCTAAACATTTATGCACCTGATAACTGGATTTTAAAATGATGAAGTAAAAACTGATTGATAGAACTGCAAGGAGAAAGACACAAATCCATGATTATATTAAAATATTTCAATTCCCCTTTATCAATAATTAATAAAACAAGTAGACAGAAGTCAGTTAAGAACACAAGAATTAAACAATACTGTCAACTACTAGTAATTGACATTTATAGAACACTCCTCTTAACAAAAGCTGTATACACTTTATTTTCAAGTGCATATGAAATATTTACCAAAAAATTTCTTATTCTGGTCCATAAAACAAGTTTCAATAAATTTAAAAGGATTCAAATCATAAAAGTATGTGCTCTGATCTTAGTGGAATTACATTAGAATCAATAATAGAAAGACTTCTGTGAAAACCTCAAATATGTGGAAATTATGAACCTCACTTCTGAATTAACCCATGGGTCAAAGAAATGAAAAGGAAAATTAAAAAGTATTTAGAACTAAATGAACATGAAAGCACAATAATTTATATAGAAATTTGTAGGCTATTGCTAAAGCAGTACTCAAGAAAAAAATTTTATAGTACTAAACACATATATAAGAAAAAAACTCAATTACCTCAGCTTCTATTCTAAGAAAATAGAGAAAGACAAGCAAATTAAACCCAAAATAAAAGGGAAAATAATGAAGATCAAAGCAGAAATCAATAAAATAGAAAGCAATAAAGAAAAACAGAGAAAACTTAAACTAAAATCTGGTTCTTTAAGAGCAATAAAGAGAGAAGATCCAAATACAATTTCAGGAATTTGAAAGATAAAAGCATTACAAATTTTACAGACATTGAAAGACTAATAAGGGATTATTATGAACAACTTCATAACAATAAACTTGACAATTTAGAGGAAATGGACAAATTCCTTGAAAAACATTAAATATCAAAAAAGAAATAAATGACAGTCATTCTCTCAGGAATGAGGTAATACCTCATTGACGTTTTAATTTGCATCTCTCTGATGACTAGTGACTTTTTAGCATTTTTTCAAATGTCTCTTGACCATCAGTATGTCCACTTTAAAGAAGTGTCTTGGCCAAAATCGGTTTGGCTCAGTGGATAGAGCATCGGTCTGCGGACTGAGGGATCCAAGGTTCGATTCCGGTCAGGGGCATGTGCATTGGTTGCGGGCACATCCCCAGTGGAGGGTGTGCAGGAAGCAACTGGTCCATGATTCTCTTGAATCATCGACGTTTCTGCTCTCTATCTCTCTCTCTTTCTCTCTGTAAAATATCAATAAAATATATTTAAAAAAAAAGAAGTGTCTAAGTCCTTTGCCCATTTTTTAATTGGATTGTTTGTCTTCCTTTCATTACATTATATGAGTTCCTTATGTATTTTAGAAATTAACTCCTTACCAGATGTAACATTGGCAAATATGTTCTCCCATGCAGTGGGCTCTCTTTTCTTTTTCTTTTCTTTTTCTTTTTTTTTTTATGGTTTCTTTTGCTGTGCAGAAGTTTCTTATTTTGATGAAGTCCCATTTGTTTATTTTCTCTTTAGTTTCCCTCGCTCTAGGAGATGTATTGGCAAACATATTGCTGCAAGAGATGTCTGAGATTTTTCTGCCTATGGTTTCTCCCAAGATTTTTATGGTTTCACATCTTATATTTAAGTCTTTTATCCATTTTGAATTTATTCTTGTGTATAGTATTATATAAATGAATGGTCTAGTTTCTTTTTTTTTTTTTTTCCATGTATCTGTCCAATTTTCTCTATCATTTATTAAAGAGACTGTTTTTACTCCATTATATTCTCTTGTTTCCTTTGTCAAATATTAATTGAGCAAAGATGGCTTGGGTCAATTTTTGGGTTCTCTGTTCTGTTCCATTGATCTATATACCTGTTCTTGTGCCAGTATCAGGCTGTTTTGAGAACAGTGACTTTGTAGTATAACTTGATATCTGCAATCGTGATCTCTCCAACTTTGTTCTTCCTCAGGACTGCTGTGGCCATTTGGTGACAATGAGGTACCATCTCACACCTGTCAGAATGGCTATCATCAACAAATCAACAAATGACAAGTGCTGGAGAGGATGTGGAGCAAAGAGAGCCCTGGTACACTGCTGGAAGGAATGCTGACTGGTGTAGCCACTGTGGAGAACAGTATGAAGTTTCCTCAAAAAATTAAATATGGAACTGCCATTTGACCCAGTAATTCCACTTCTAGGAGTATATCCTAAGAAACTCAAACACCAGTCAGAAAGAATATATATGTACCCCTATGTTCATAGCAGCATTATTTACAATAGTCAAGATTTGGATACAAAGTGCTCTATATAAAAATCAATTGTATTTCTGTATACCAGCAATAAAAAGTTAAAATAAAAAAACACACATGATAGCATAAAAAATTGTGAAATATGACAAAATGTGTAATACCTATTCGCTGAAAGCTACAAAATATTGATAAGAGAAATTAATAAAAACAGAAATAAATGGAGAAATATGTATGTCCACAAATTGGAAGACTAAATACTAAGATGTCATTTCTCCCTAAATTCATGTATAGATTCATCTCAAACCCAATCAAAATTTGAGCAGGGATAGAAATTGATAAGACACTCTAAAATTTGTATGGCAATACTAATGAAAATAAATGTATAATAGCCAAAATAGTTTTGAAAAATAATAAAACTGAAAGACTAACACTGCTTGATTTCAAGACATGAATCTATAGTAATCAAGGTAGTGTGGAATCAGCATCAAGACAGAAAAATAAATACATGGCATTACATACAGAATCCAAAAATAGATCTGAATATATAATTTATTTTTTACAAACATGCAAAGCCAATCCAGTAGAGAAAGCATAATCTTTTCAGTAAATGGTACTAGAATAATTGGATATCTATTTGCAAAAAGAATTACAATTCGTACATTATGCCACATACAAAAATTGACTCAAAATGGATCATAGACCTAAATGTAAAATCAAAATATATAAAACTTCAAGAACATGTTTGTGACACCAATAATTCAAATTGTATTAAAATTTTAAATTTCTGCTCTTTAAAAGATACCATTTAAGTTATAGACTGGGGGGAAATATTTGCAAAGCATATATCTGATAGAGTATTTTGTTCAGTTTATATAAAGAACTCTCAAAACTCGTAAGAAGATAAACAATTCAATTTTTAAAAGGGGCAGAATATTTGAACAGGCACTTGAAATATAGATATCAAATAATTACATGAAAATGTTCAACATCATTAGTCATAAGGGAAATAAAACTTAAACTGCAACAAAATATCACCACACACTTGTTGGAATAGCTAAAAAGAAAACGATTGACAATACCAAGTCTTGGCAAGGATGTGGCACAATTGGGTGTCACCTCTTACACTGTAGTGGAGAATGTAGAATGGTACAATTCCTTTGGAAAACATTTATCAGTTTCATTAAGAAGTCAAACTTCTACCCAATGATCCAGCCACCCCACTGCTAAATATTTTATCCAAGAGAATCAAAGCATAGGTCCATACAAAGACTTGCACATGAATGTTTATAAAATGTTAGTAATCGTAACCAAAACAACAGAAATGCTCACCAGCAGAGTGGGAGACAAATAGTGTTGTGTGCATACAAGGGAATGCTATTCCAAAGAGAGGGAAAGCACTATTGATTGACCCAAGCAACAAAATAGTCATGTGAATGAATGAAGCCAGGCAAGAAAGATTACTAGTACTGGTACAAACTATTTGATTTAATGTACATAAAATTATATAAAATGATGACAATGTATTGTGACAGAAAAGAGATAAGGAAGGAGAAGGGTGAAAAAGGGGGATTGCAAATTAATTAAGAGGAAACTTTTTTGGATGTGTGGATATATTCGCAATCTTAATTGTGGGAGATATGTACATATATATACATACATACATGTATACAAATATATGTCAAAATTTATCAAAGGGTATACTTTAAATATTTGTAGTTTATGCAATAAATGTATTTAAAAAGAATACAATAGGTCCAAGCCAAAACCTTCTTATGTCCTCCAGGACTTGCAAATCTAGCCCTGCCTATTGTACTTCATCTCAGCAGCTTGATTCCTTTTTTAACATTCAATCTAACAAGCAGGAAATGGCTGAAAATTAAGTAATTTCCCTGTGAAGACTCTCAGTCCTTCTGGAAAAAGGGGGAGCAGGCAGAGCACCTCTTGAAGCCCATCCCCATTGTGAGTTCAGCACCCTTCCTCTTACTCCTTGGCTTCTCTTGGCCTGCAATCTGCACAGCATCTGTGGGTCTTCCAAAGGGAATGGAAGACAAAACAACAGAAGCGATCTACTTTCAACTCAAAAGAAAATGGAAGCTCAGTGTTAAGCTCTGTGGTCTCACATTCAGATGGAGCCCAGGATGTCTTGACTCAGAGCTGGAAACAGCTTTCTGTTCCAATGAGTTTTCAAAGCAGCAGACAGCATATCTGCAAAAAGGAAGTGGTGGGTTGTGGTCCAAGGCAAAGGGAAAGGGCCATCACCATCACAATGAAAACAGAGAAATTGCTTTTATAAAATTGAATTTATTGGGCTGACATTGGTTAATAAAGTGATATATGTTTCAGGAGTACAGTTCTATAATACATCATCCATGTATTGTGTCTTTCCCACCCCAAACCATGTTTCTTTCCATCACCATTTATTCCCCGCTTATCCTCTCCTGCTTCCCCTGCCCCTTATATGATTTCACTTACATGTGAAATCTAATGAACAAAAGAAACTAACAAACAAAATAGAAACAGACTCAGTGTTATCAAAGGGGAAGGGGAAGAGGGTCTGGGTGAAAAAGGTGAAGGTGTTAAGAAAAAACAACAACAACAACAAAAAAAAACACCTGCAGACAACAGTATGGACAGAGAAACTACTGTTTATCTGCCTGTCCCTCAGAGCAGACCACTCTTCTCCCCCCAGAATGAGTCCATAAAAGCCTTTGTAACAGATGAAGTTATCCAGCCCTCAACCATTTCCAGGAACATTTCCCAGACTTCCAAAGTAATTCTAACAGCTTGGTAACAATCAGAAAGTTC